ATTCATTGTTGGCATCAAAAATGCAAAGACATTGCCTTTCAGTGCAATCTCTCAATTACTGGAAAGAGAGAGAGGGAGAGAGAGAGAGAGAGAGAGAGATTTAATTCAATTCTTGTATTATTGTAATATTCTGTAATTTTATTTGTCAGTCATCTGATAATCGATTAAAATGTAATACAAATAAAAATATTATAAATTCCGGTAAAAGTAAATATGAATTATATTTACAAATAAATTATTATTTAGTGTTTTTTCAAAATAACAGATCATTTGATTTTAATTATTTGAGTTAATTTTAAATAAAACTTTTGAACATTTGCTGCAATCATATGAATGATAGGATGAGTTGTAAGCGATGGTGGGATTAGTGGTCTAGAAGTGAGGCATACATACTTTGCCCGCAAATAATTCAGATATTACTCTATAATATGGGATCAAATGGAAAGCAAAAAACAGTCAATCAATACAAAGAGCCGATAATGAGTGGTCAGATCTGAAGACTCACGTAATCCAAAGCGAGAGGACGAAGAATATGTAAGAAATGCCGACCTATTGGGAGAGTGAATGGCATGTCATGAATGAGACAAATGATGGCAACACAGAGAGTACGGATTGTCAGACCTGATGAGAACTCGGCAGTTGATAGGGCTGACCGCCGATGGCGTCCACAGTGAAGCCCATCGGGAAGATGACTGCAGCCAAGCAGTACTGAACCATCGCCGCGAAGCCGAACCAACGCGCAGATGATATCACCGATTGGTTCCAATTGGAGATCACGAAGAGTACGACAGTTGTGGTGACGCAAACACAGCCGCCGACTATGCAGATGAGAGCGAGTGTCCACTCGGTGTGCAGTTTGGGTGTAAAGCAATGGCTGTCTCTGCCGTAAATGGCCAGACATGACCGCAGAAGACCGAAACGGGTGTCTCCGCCCACTTCAGACACTATCCAATCGGGAAGTATTAGCGAAACGATGGCCAGAATGTCGGCCGTCAGGAACAGTGCCGTCGATATCAGTGTCAGTTTGTCCATCGATTGCCGGTCAGAGTTACCACACGACGGCCGCTGTCGGCAACCAGTGGTCACACACGGAGTCAACGCCGCTATCGATCACTCACTTCATGACACCGACAGTCCATCGCATCCCAGATAACAGACAACGAGTTTAAACCAACCAATGAGTCAACGATACGAAGAATTACGCAATTATTCACTGATTGTTGACTCAAATAGTGGTTCGCTATAAACGAGTACTCAATACAAGTGTTCACAACAATCACAACAAACCCTATGTTGTGATCAACTCTTCACAAACAACGTTACCATTCATTCGTACCCTTTAAATGTGACCACAATTTTATCAATACTTTATTTTATTGAATAATTGATTATCTAATTAATTGTCAATTAGTTGAATGGTATCGTACACTATACACAAATGATCATAACAGATGATCATGGTCATATTTAATGAGAGTATTTGTTTTATAACTTATAAAGCATATAAATTATAAGTAAAATAACTAACTATAAAAATAATTCAATGACTGAGCGCTGATTTGCGGCATTCATTGCGACCTCTTTTGTACAGAATATTCATTACATTAAAGAATCCGATTCTTCACACTATATATCAAGTAAAGCCAAAATTTGCTTATAAGCACTTATCACATCAAACCCTTGTGTTGTAATTTGTACATTATTCATATGTTAGTCACATATAGTGTACTCTAATACAAATGGGGGTTTG